TTTCTCAGGTTAAACAGCCTCTCAAGCCTATCCAGATCCCTCTGGATGGCACATCCCTTCCCTCTGGGGTATTGACCGCACCACACAGCTTGGTGTTGTCAGCGAACTTGCTGAGGGTGCACTCAGTCCCACTGTTCATGTCACCAACAAAGATGTTAAACAGCACCAGCCCCAACACCAACCCCTGAGGAACGCCACTTGTCACTGGTGTCCACTTGGACATTGAGCTGTTGACCGCAACTCTTTGAGTGTGACCATTGAGCCAATTCCTTATCCACCAATTGGTCCATCCATCAAGTCCATGTCTCTCCAATTTTAGAGACAAGGATGTCATGTGGGATTGTGTCAAATTCATCATGCAGCCATTCACCCTGTCTGGTCTTTGAAATGGTGGCCACAGTTTGTCCACTTGTTTTTTGTTTGTATTGGAGAGTTTACTGTGCTTTTATCGTATATTCCCATAAGAATTTTCTAAGTTCTCTTCTTGGTGCTGCCTTGATACATAGGTTAAAGAAAATTAAGAAAGCCATAGAGGAAAACAATTCTCTTGCTTTTTAAAACAGGTTAAATATTTGAGATCTTCAACTAATTGTACATATTGAGTCCTTACATAACTATGCTTTTGATTGCATTTCAATATAGGCATTTTATGGTTAATCTTGTAATCAAATGTTTCCGTGGCTTATCAAGAATAGTTAGCTGAAGGAATTACTAACAACTTTTATAGAAGAGCAGTGTTAACTGTTTTAATGACTCATTGCAAGACTTTGAGGTGGAAAATAACAAGTCTCAGTAAACTCTCTGTGTGTTTCCCTTCTTCCCTTAAATGTTTCTCATTTAACTAGTTATAGTTCAGGTCAGCCTTAGAGATTTTTCTTTTTAGTTCTGTAAGTACAGGCATTGAGGCAGTTCAAATTTTGCATTGAAGTGCTAAGAAACAGTCCACTCTCACAGGAGGTAGAGGCTGTTCTGTGTATCAGGGTGAGGGTTTTTTTTATTCCAGAAACATAGGAAACCTCAAAATTCTTAAGCTGACAGAGTATCTGTATTAGGCATTTGAATGAATGTTTTTTCCTTACCATCAGCCTCTCCTGAAGCTAGTTGTAACATACTGCAAGGACTCTGCCTTCAAAGCAGGGATGAGAGATTGTTTTGGTTTTTCTCCTTCCTTTGAATTAATTGTGTGGAAGTGTCACTGGAGGAATTCTTTTGCAAGGTAGGAACCCCCATGACATGGGTGAATGTGAATTTACCAGCTCAGTTGTGATGTTCAGACTCCAAAACCTTGTCAGAGGGGGTGGGGAGAAGCCTTGGAAATCTTGGACCAGATGTGGTCAGGAGTAAGAGAATCTTTTTTCCCCCTGTATGAATTGATTTTTATGTATACAGTCTGACTGGTGTAGAGAGGAGGAAACTTGCACTCATCATCTACGTGTGAAGGAGGGAAGAAGAGTGTGCATGAGTGACCTTGTGCTGCTGAGCCACCTCTGCAAGTTGCTGGGTAATAAATTTCTGTGGCGGGTTGTGGAAGTAAACTGGTGACATGATGCAAGAGTAACGCAAACTGACCCTACTAATCATTGCTTGAGAACCGCAAAGAGAAAGGATGCTGGGAAGAAGGGGAAAGAGTAGGCAAAATGAGGGGAAGAAGCATGTAAAGAACTTAAAGGCTGGCAGATGGTATTTGTTGTATTTAATACAGAGGCGTTCAGTGCCTGCTTTGTGTTTCTGCAGCAACTGCTTGAGCACATCAGTGACAAATGGGCATGCAAGGTGCGGAATAGGGACCTATTTCCGCAGTATTTATTCAAACAAAAATCCTGCTTATATGAAGCCTAAAGAATCAAACAACATATCGAAATATTTTTGTCTGTGCTTTTTGGAATGTATTTGCGACTGAAAATATGTAACTGAAGAGCCCTATCCATGTGGCACACCTATACAGTAAGATTCATGATGCATTGTTGTTCTGTTCAAATTCCTTAGGAAAAGACATTCCCACCCCCCAACTTGAAGTGGGATGGCTTTGAAGTCATTCTTTTTCTCAGGTAAAATAGGCTTTTTCATTAAGAGGGCCTCACAGTCATCATCTCTTCTTGTTTGTTTTAGGCAGTAGATTTAATAGCAGAGGTTAAAAAAGAAAAATTCCCATCTGGTAATCATTTCTTCATATTTGGGCTTCTAGTTAAGCAAAAGACAAGATAATCCTGTCACTATCTTTTCTGTGTGTTCTGCCTCAGGATATGACTGGAGATTCTGTAAAGGTTTGCAGATTACAGTGTGGTGGGTTTTGTCCCAATTATTATTCAGTTTTGCTTGTCTTTTGGGGAGTGGAGGGCTTTTATTTTCAATATAAACCTAATAGAAAGCTACACCCTTGGAAAGATGTAAAACTGTGAATGTGTGTCCCAAGGCAGTCCTTAGCAGGGGAAGTCTGGAAGCACAGTACTGTATCTCCACAGCGCTCTCACTGAGATATGAACATCTTTGGCTTTTACTGGGAAATTGATTTCCAACCAGTGAAATTATGCTTGGGTTAACATACAACAGTTCAGGTCTCCCTCCACATCTCTGACTATTGTTGTGATGTATAATAGCATGCATCGAATAATATGTACTCCTGCCATGGTAGTAGTTACCTGCCCTGATTAGAAATGAGCAGAGGGACTGACAAGTCAGTCATTTATCTGTACCATAAACATGGTTTCATCATATTAAGATAATGTTATTGGAATAGAGATTGTCTATTAGCCTGGCTGTAACACTCTTAGATAAAATTCATTCATGTCACTAATACATGTTCTCCAGTGTACAGCACAATGTCATCCAGAAGCTTCAGGCAATTCATTTTGCTAATGAGGACTGAAGATGTAGACAACTTATTCCTAGCTGTTTTCTGTTTTCAGTCACTGGTTGAGGCCAGTAGGGGACCTAAATTGAAAGGATTTCAGAAGTGTTTCAAAGACTGGCCTGGTTTTGATTTTCCCTGAGGTGAATAAGGATTTGTGATGCTTTTGGGCTTGCCTGAAGCCAGAAGAGTGTCTCAGATACATCATTATTCCAGCAGAGACATTCATATGGCACAGATATGCTCTGAGAATGAGATAGGTTTCATGTAACAAAGAATTAACTTCTCATGTTAGACCTTTGCTTTGGTGCAGTAGTTTTGTGATAGCTTTGACAGGAAGAAAATGTGTCCCTTAACTCCTTTTACATCTTGACAGATAGGTCTCATTTAGTTCCATGGTCCTCCCAGTTCACAACATGGGTTGCTTGAGGAGAGCTGCTGCTTTTAGATTTTCTCTTCCATCTCCATGGAGACAGAGGTCTCCAAACTTGTTGGCTTTACTGACTCACCTCAACTTCCCATACCCCAAACTAAATAAAGGTTTGATTCACAAGTCTTGTGGTCAGGCTTATAGTTATAACCAAACCAACTACAGAATCATGCCTGTGCTTGATAATGGGATAAGCAAATAGGAAGATGAAAGCTATATGATAGTCACTAGGAGACTGCTGAGAAACTACTCTCCAGCTTGTAAGTACAGCTGTGTTTTAAAAAGCCCTCACTGTCCTACTAATCCTTGTATCATTTATATACAGTTAGAGCTTGGGAACAAATCTGGGTGTTAATTCAGAGTGATTTTGAGGTATTTAACAGTGATTTCCCTGTTTCTCCACCCCTCCTCTACACCCCAGAGAACTTCATCAATTCATCAACCAAGGAATGTGCAGATAGTTCTACTATTAATAAGTATTCTTGGCTTTGCATGCTTTGCTAGCCACCCATCTTGTCTTTGGTCTGGGGATAGATATTCAACCAGTCTGACCTACAGGCTTTGCTCTGGATGACTGATGCACCCCTGTCAAATGCAGAATGCATCAGTTGTAGCAGGGCATATGACTGTTACTCCTGACAAGTTAACAGGATGACATGTAAGCAGGGACAGGGAAGGGATCTGACCCCTGTACTGGGCACTGGTGAGGCCGCCCCTCGATTCCTGTGTTCAGTTTTGGGCCCCTCACTACAAAAAGGACATTGAATGACTCGAGCGTGTCCAGAGAAGGGCAGCGAAGCTGGTGAAGGGTCTGGAGCACAGGTCGTAGGAGGAGCAGCTGAGGGAACTGGGGGTGTTTAGTCTGGAGAAGAGGAGGCTGAGGGGAGACCTTATCGCCCTCTACAGCTCCCTGAAAGGAGGTTGCAGAGAGCTGGGGATGAGTCTCTTGAACCAAGTAACAAGTAACAGGACAAGAGGGAATGGCCTCAAGTTGTGCCAGGGAAGGTTTAGACTGGATATTAGGAAGCATTTCTTTCCAGAAGGGGTTGTTAGGTGTTGGAATGGGCTGCCCAGGGAGGTGGTGGAGTCTCCATCCCTGGAGGTGTTTAAGAGTAGAGTTGACATAGTGCTGAGGGGTATGGTGTAGTTGGGAACTGTCAGTGTTAGGTTAATGGTTGAACTAGATGATCTTCAAGGTCTTTTCCAACCTAGATGATTCTGTGATTCTGTAAGGTGTACATGTAACAGACCTGGTTTCAGGTGTCTTGTCTAAACTGCTTTCTAATCTATAATTGTACAGTTCTTAGAGGAGTATGAGGACCTGTGTGTCAAGAATAGGTGTGTTTCTCCTACAAGCTTGTTTTATTCTTCTTGTAATTTTATTGTACTATTGTAAACCATAAACACTAATTTTACATGTATTGTGATAAAATATTTTGTAGCATTGAATTTGCAGTTTTTAAATAAATGAAAAACATTTTTGTCAATATCACCATGGAAGATTTCAGCTCCCTCTTTCCATGAAATCTCCCTATTTCCCTTCTCTGTTCCCCCCTTGCTGTACCAAGATAGGTGACACTGGTTTGTGTTCAGCATTTCGACGTCATTACAGCCCTTTCTTCGCTGTATGCTGTTGATGTGACTGATGGTTTTCAACATGTTACTAATTTTTGGTTTTGCATATACTGTGTACATTCGTATATTTCTTATTCTTTATTCCAGAGATGGTGATGTTGCTGGAATGGTGGTCAGGCACCCATTGTACCCTCTACACTGACCCAGAGAGTTACCACAAGTATGGGAAGGAGAATGCCATTGTAATCCTTAATCACAACTTTGAAATCGACTTCCTCTGTGGTTGGAACTTTTGTGAAAGATTTGGAGTCTTGGGGGTGAGTTTTGTTTAGCATTTAAAATAAACTTCCTCCTCTTGGATGCAGAAAAAGCAAATTCTTTGTGTTTTTGAAAGTTAACAGATCTGGGCTCAAACAGGTGAACCTAAAGCAATTCAGTGCAAGTGTGTAGAATACTGAGACAGGATTACTTGGGCATTCACAGAAATTTTAAAAGCACTGCAGTTAAATCTGATGGAGATATTTTTTTAATCTCTGGAGGTCATTACAGTGTTCCTCTTTGTGTGCTTGCTAGGTAACTATTACGGTTCATTGTGCTGCAGAAAGATGAGCTGGTCTCTGATTCTTTCCCAGTAAATTGTAGAATATGTTTGCTTTCTCCAGTGTAGCCTTACAAATCCACAACTACAGTTTGAATGATGTAGTCAGTCCTTGTCTCTCAGAATGAAAGAGCAGCCATCTCTGAAAGCAGTAAGCAGGTTATAGCTAGTAAGAGATGGGGGAGGAATGACTTATCCGTAGTTGAATACACTATTACATTAGGCTAGGAGTATGTTTGCGTTTGTTTTCAAGTTGTATTTTTTGTTTCCCCTGGCAGCTCATGGGGATGATTCAAGATCCCCTCCTAAGCCAGCTTGATTTAATTCTGTGGTAGTGACGACATTCTCTACCTACAAGAGTTCCTCCCTCCTAAGAAAGCAGACTAATAGAACATTTTGGAGGTCTTCTGCAGCATCATCTTCTAACTTTGCTACTGGCCACTGTCAAAGATCCTGACCTTGGATTGTGTGTATCTGTAACTTTTTGTGGCCTCTCCCTTGGACTCTGCATTTTCTGGACATTTAGGCACCACTCCAGTCACTTTCAAATTATGATAGTCTGCTTAAAAAAACAAAAAGGGGCCTTAAAACTGGAGGAAAATGAACGTAGGCATTACAGGCCCTGCATATTACCAAAATGGCTGTTGGCTCCTGATTTCTGAGGAGCAGTTCTACCCTCACATCTAGGACTTGAGCACAGAGCTGGAGTGGAATTGATGAGACAGCAGGAAATGTAGGGAAATGTGTTCCTTTCAGGCATATGTACATGCCAAAAGCATTCTCCCTTTTATGTGTCATTATACAGTGGTGCTTTAGTATAGTCTATCTAATTTTGTAAGCGTAATGGCTACAGTTCTCTAAATTAAGCTGTGTTTTAGAGGGTCAGGTGCTTCTTCGGAAAGCACCATTGTAGAAAATTAAAGGATTATTTCTGTACAAACTAAAAGGGACCTACAAGGTCAAAAATCTCTTGTTTTACATTGGTGCTGTGTGGTTGGATTGAATCTCATTAGCTTTAATCTGTGGGTTTTTTTAAATTAGGATAATGTTTTAATTTTTCTTTATTGTTCCTACACCTAAGACCACCACTACGTAGAAGAATAACTGTTGAACAATTACTGTGCTGCACTAACTGAAAAGAATTTTTTTTTTTTTTTAGATGCTTACAGTTATTACTTGGTTTGTGTTTTTGCTAATCTTTGGATTCTTTTAGGAACTGATACATATTTTTCAAAAATTTTTTAAAACTGTTTCAGTCTTGAGTAATGTACTTTGGTTTTACTTCCCAGAAGCTGTTGCAGGAAGAAATAGTTCCCATGTGCTCTCATTTGCATAGATGTCTTTACACAGCAAAGCAGTGCATTTCCCTGTTGGGGCAACCAGTCAAGGTTCATCTTAAGTCAGGTTAAAAAAAAATAATTGAAAATGACCCGCAATCCATTTCCTGATTGGATTGTCTGTATTGGCATACTGGTACTTGACTTGGGGCAGTAGGGAGTGGGTGAATGTGTTGGGATGGGGGGGTAGCTTGGTTTGACTTTGTGCTGCCTTACATGAGTTTTTAGTGTTCGAAGCTTCAGGGTTTGGCAGGCAGCACAATTAATGCAAGAACCATTAGGTGGAGGGCTGATGTTTGGGAAAGGGAATAAAAGAAAAAGGCAAGCATCCAGAGAGATTTTTAAGTGGTATCCCAGCTGCCAGCATGTTGTGGCTTAGGGACTTTGTGAGCCAGTGGGTTTTATATTTAATGCTGTTTAATTTTATACTCCATAAAGTTTCTATGCAAACTTTAAGTATCTACCAACATCTTACTAAGCTGATCTTATGTCCACTGCTGCTGAAAAAGAAATCTTGCACATGCCATTCTGTTTCCTGCATCTGTTCTGGTGCTTGTCTGCCCTGTTTTGGCATGTTTCAAACACCCCTTCCCTCTCTCCTGCCTTAACTAATCCAGTGAACAAAGGAGAGATGACTGGGGAGGGGGAAGAGGGAAAAGGTGAAGACAATTTAGGGCTGAAGGAGTAGGGACTGATTGTGCTTGGCTGCAGCAGGCAATCAGAACAGCTTTGTTGTGACATCTAGCTGTACTCTGCAGCCCTGGTAGACAATGATAGTGCTCTTAACAGTGTCACAAGCGTGTGTCCAAACTCAGTATTTACAGCTTGAGCTTTTATTTCATGAAGGCATTAAATGCTGTAAGTATTTGCTTGCTTTTGCTCGTTTAAAAACAAGATTAAACTTCCTTAAACCTGTCTTGCCCCTTCTAGCGCCAAAAGAAAAAAGCCTTTCCCTTTTCCTCTTTGATTTTAATCATGATATGCCCCTCCTGGTCTTAGCTACAACATTCAGTCTGTGCATTGTTCTGCTCCTTTTGTCTCTCTTCTTCTGTATTGGCTTTCTCCTTTCTCCTTATAGCCAAGTTGCCATAGTCCCAATAGGTTTATAATGCTGTATCAATGTGGTTTGGTTTTTATCAGTGTAGTTTTAGCTTTTTTTGCTGTTTGTCGGGGGTGGAGTGAAGTGGCATAGTCTCTTGCCTGCTGTTGTTAGGTTTGTGAACCTGAGTCCTCTTCAAATGATTCAGTTCTTGTACTTGGATGGCATGAGGTTCTCTGCTTTCATGAAGGTTTTTAAATGGCTGTGGAAGAAAACCTAGCAAAAAGAACCAAAGAAGGTGCTAAGAATTTGAGAAGTGTGTGTGTGGAGGAGGGGGAAAAAAAAGAGACAATTCTAACTTTTTTTTTTTTCTTTAAAAATACATTTTTGGACCACCCATTGAAAATGCTAGGAGTAACTGGGTTGACAGTGCTAAGTGAGAGCCAGAGATCTATCATTTATAGTGGAGAAGAAGAAAACAACACGACAAAGCAATTCTGTGCTCATTTTTAATCTTGCAAGTTATTGTAGCCACTGAGATTGTCTTGCTAGCTGCAGTTGGACTCTATGCAGCTGAAGTTACTGATGAGTAATTGTCTATAGCACCAAACCTTAAAAGATTTTTTGGTTGTTGTTGGAAATCAGAAGGAGGAAGCAAACCATAAAAACTAGAAGTCAGCAGGGATTTCAGGCTAACCTGTGTTCAGGCCAAACTATTAATCACTTACATCTGTTTTCCAGTTGTGTTTTTTTTGTGAAGGGATCTTCCTGTTTTGTTTTCAGTCTTTGAGACCTGTCAGCCACACGTACCCACATCCTTGTGCTGCTAGGCCTCAGTGATGTGTGTAGGAGGGAGGGAATATAGAGGTGCTTGATGCCAACTAATAGAGACATAAGTCCTAGGACTTAACGCCTTCTTAGTGATAGACAGCCTAGCCACTCTATCAGCATTTAAACATATGAGTAGCATTTAATTTCTTCAAGGTGTGTGCTAAGCATCCCTTTGAAAACAGACCCAACTGAACACCAGAACTTGAAACTGGGACATAGGCATGTTCTGAGGAGAGGGATGTTACTCAGGACTTCCACCAAAAGCACAGTAATGCACTCTGTGCCAGGATTCATTGTACTCTTCTGCTTTGTTGCTTGAGCTGACAAAACACTGATGAAATAGCTTCTTTAGTAATTTTAGTAACCTTTTTTCTGAGACAAAGTAGTTGATATTAGCAAAAATTACCCGTGCTTTAAAGCTAAACCTGCTGGTTTATCTGTTCACCTAGTGTCATGAGTTTCAGGTTACTAATGCTGGTGGTCTTTCTACCTTGGCAAAACATAAACATTATTCTGAGTGGCTTATTATATTGGCATCAACATAGGTGCATTTCCAAAAGAGGCCATAGTTGTGTATTCCTTGACAGGGTAGACAAGGCAGAAAATCATTATGAAAAACTAGTTGTTAGCTATCTTGCTTTAAGCTTCTTATAAAAAAAGTGCTAAGCACATGTAACAGTTTTTAACCCTATCTGTTCCATATGTCAGAAAAAACAAATTCTATTTAAAAGTTGTTCATGTTGAAACTTGCTCTTGGAAAAACTGAGCATGGCCTTAGATATAAGTGCGAGAAGAGACTTTTGTAGGTTATTGTATGGGACTGATATGTGTGCGAACACATTAGTTCATTTGTACATTTTAATATATTAGTAGAATTTAAACTAGATTTGAAGGGGGAAAGGGATAAAACCAGGCTTGCTAGAAGTAAGCCTGGGGGCAGCAGTCCAGTGTTTGAGGGACAGTATGCTATCAAGGTCCTTTGGTCTGCCATCTCAGTGGAGGTAGGGATGGAAATCCATGCGGCAGCAAAGATGCAAGGGTTATTGATGCGTTAGAAACCATGAAAGTGCCTGAAAATGGTCACATAGGAATTAGGGCTTCTCCCCAATAAAAGTGGCAGGATCAATAGCCCTATCCACACAGCATGGGCAGCAAACAGGAGGAGTTGGAGGCAGATGTGCAGCTAGAAAACTATGAGATAGTTGCAATCACAGAACTCACACAACTGGAGTGCTGCAATGGATGACTATAAACTGTTCAGAAGGGACAGGCACGGAAGAAGAGTTGGTGGATAGCTCTGTATGTTAGGGAGTGTTTTGACCGTCTAGAGCTTGATGATGGTGACAAAAGGGTTGAGTGTCTATGAGTAAGAATAAGGGGAAAGAACAACAAGGAAGGTACTGTAGTGGGAATCTTGTTACACACAACCTAACTAGGATTGAAGAGGCAGATGAAATATTCTGTAAGCAGCTGGGAGAAGTCTCACAGTCACTAGCCCTTGTTCTCATAGGG